GTTTCCTTAGAATTGCATGTTCAAGTCCAGTTTTCATGAGAGTTCGATTTCGCAAATTCAAAATCCGAGATGCTCCAGTGAGCAAAATGTCAATGGTGTTGTCGACCTGCCTCCGACCCACAGCCTCGGACCCCCTCGGACCCCCTCGGCCCACCTCCAACCCTCTCGCCCCGCCTCCAACCCCCCTCGCAACTCAACAGATTCACTCTCCTCGCCTCCGACTAATTCGCCCATCCAACACCTCTCGCCTGCCTCCACCTACTTGCCCCGCACCCGACCCACTCGCAACGCCTCTGAGCCAACGACACCGCTTCCGATCCATTTGCCATTCCTCCGACCAACTCTCACAGCCTATGACCCCCTCGCGCCACCTCCAACCCTCTCGCCCCGCCTCCGACCCACTCGCACGGCCACCAATCTACTCCCACAGCCTCCGGCCCACTTGCACAACCTCGGGCCCACTCGCCCCACTTCCGACCCATTCGCTCATCAGACGCTTTCGTCCCAGTCGCCTCGCTCCCGACCCACTCGCACCACCTCCGACTCACTCGCCCAGCTCCCGCCCCATCCGCACCGCTTCCGACCGACTCGCACCGCCTCCGACCGACCATCACTGCCTCCGACACACTCACGCCTCCCCAACTTCACCTCGCTCCACCATCACTTTGGGGCCGCCCCGCGAGTCACTGTCTACCGCCTGCAGGCTGTTGGCAAAATCCGACTCATGCGCGTTGCCGGCGGAGGCCGAAAATAACTGGCGACCGCTCGCACGTCGGCCGCGACGGCGGAGCGCTTTTTCTGCGAGGCGCTCGCATGCGTGCAGTCCGTTCGCGAGCGAGTACACGCGGCTCGGCAAGAAGACGAGGCAACGCTCGCTGCGAGTGAGTACCGTTTTATTTCGGAAAGCGAGGCTTTGGGCGCTCAAATCAAAGATGAGTACCGTGTCTAAAATCTACAAGCGGTTCTACAGCAGAATGTACTTTCTCGCATCGGTAACGGTAACGTAAAATTACAATACAATTTTTTTTCCGTTTTGTCCTCATCTCAGCCAGCTCTTGTAAAACTCATTAACCTTAGCACATTAAGTGATAAAATGTAATTCATTTAAATCTAATACGTCAACACAACTTCGACAATCCGCAAAGTTCCACTCCATACACCCAGAAACACCTTTCAACAATGAGTAGTTATTCAGAGAACGTCAACCTATCATGCAGCAGAGTTCCCATTGTTATATTGCAACGTGTTAAATCCTGAAAGATTCTGCGAAAAGAAGAGCGGTAAATTCGAATCTATAATATCAAAAATAAGAAAAAAAAATACGCATAACTGCTCAGATTTTCAAAAAATGTACACGATTAATTAAGAACACATTTCAGTAAGTAAACAAACCCTATCATAAATATTACAGTATTGCATTGTTATTTTTCTCCTTTTTTTCAAAATTACTGAGACTTGCTGAAAATGAGTCCAGCATTACTTCCTTGTCCGATTTTGTAACTAACTACGAAAAGATTAAGAAAATATTTGGAGTCGTTTTAGAGAAAATTTTGAAACTGTTAAAGCTTAATATAAAGTACCCCCCAAAAATCAAAATATCAATTTCAATTTCAAATACAATGGACCGTGACTCAATCAGATCGAGCAGGGAATTTCAGGTTATATTTTTTTAAATCCTTCTGGCGGTTTAGCCCATAAACCAATTTTTCGTTATCAAGGACCCAACAAATGTGGATTCGGACTACAGAACGTGTTAAAGAAAGTAATTTATTACACGTAGAAACAATATTTATCAAGTTCTTCGTCATCAGGGCCCATCAATGAAAGTTTTTCTGTCAAAAATTTGTCGTTTTTTCCGTAGCATTACAATTCTTTCACCATTCTGCGTAAGCAGCATATAAGAAAAATGCATTTGATGGAATTTCGATTGATGTGATGATAATGAAATTCATGGAAGTTAAAAACTTGGTAGGTGGATACTAGCCTGTATGTGAGTTTATACGCCACAGAATGCAAAATGTCCAAATTGGAAACCAATTAATACTCAGAAACAGGTAATGGTACTTCCGGGATTCCCAAAAGTTATGAAGAAGGACCTCTGTTATTTCTAATTGTTGAACGTTATCATTCTTTCTTTTCTTACCTCAGAGAACGTCTAAATTACATTCCTAAAATGGTTTCTGTTACTTTCAGAAAACTTAAATAAATTGTATTATATCATGTACTCCCCGAAATTTTGTAAATTGCATAAATCAGTGCATGTTCTACAACTAGCTTAGTGTTCTGGCTCCGTTGCAATAAGCGTAAACAAATATCAGGTTAATTAAAAAAAATAGATGATTTTCCAATTCGCCCAAATCTTTCCAAAATAACAGCAGTCTTCGTAATAAGCCGGATATTTGAATTATCCTACGACATAAATACAGCTGGCGAACTGGTTATTTTGGAAGGGCTAAAGTAGTCCAGCCTTAAAAAATGGGCAAAAGTTCACAATGTGGTGTTAACCGAGAAAGAATATGATAATGTTTGTTATGAAACAAAATTAAGTGGGGCAAACTCTTGGAATGCAGTACTGTAGAACCCGTAATCTTATTATCTGTGCCGTTCTTAAGGAGGATTCGGCGCTCGCACAGGAATGAAAAATGTTGAAAAAATCTTTTAAAGTAAGTTTCGAATTTATCTCATTAAAAGTTCGGGACACTATTGGAGGAACCTAACAGACATTTTTAATGAAAACTGTCAAATGAACGCAAGTATAGGTAACTTTAGCGGCTTCTATGGAATCTCGACAATTGCTTGCCAGTATTTCCTGCGTATTCCCTTCTTTCTGGTCGTGACTCTTACAGGTTTGCCCGATTTCTCCCTGGCTCCATCCGAGAGAACTATCTGGTGGAGAGAAAACGTAACTCCTTATTTTATAAACAAGGGCTGGATCCAATATAAACGCACATTTTTTCCAACAAGACAAAAAGTGTGCTAGTTATTTTGAGTATGAAACGCCCAATTTCTAATCGTTTAAACTTGATTTCATGGTGCATTTGATGTATTTTACTGTTTTAATAATACATGCATATTTTTATTTTAATAATATATTCATGCAAAATGAAAATTGTATGTACATTTTGCTTACAAACATTTGTCGTTGCAGTATTTATTTTAATTTGTAAAGGCCCAAAAGTGATAAACGCTACAGTGCTTGACATGCAAAAGTCTTAATCTGTACATTCAAGTAACGATATATACTCAAAGCATCGATACATTTGTCAAGTATTATAGACTTTTTGCACAATCTTTTGTTCCAAATGGATGTAGTGCCGACTTCTGGCAGCGTAATGTGCGCTAGATTCCCATAGTTACACGTCATCTTAATTGGCAATAGTTCGACTAGAGCTGACCATGTTAATATACATAGTTATATTATTGTATAATTATTATATTATCAAAAGCATAACACAAACATTATTTACACAAATTAGTGCCTCCAACGTGAAGTTGCAATTTGGGAATATAGAGTGAGCAGTACACTACTCCGCCGCAGTTGGGAACAAATTCCATGTTGTATGACAGAGTGAATGATTTGCATTCGATATATCGTCATTCGGTCTCTAAATATGGTAGAATACTGAGCATCGCCATCACTTCGAATTATAGTTGGAAAATGCGCGTAAAAAAAGGTATTCGCTAAGGTGTTTCATGCTCTGCAAATACTCTATTGATATATTCGTTAAGGTTTCGATATATTCGTCAAGCCTCCGTTTCTTCGTCAGGCCTCCATTTTTCCGCCAAGCATTCATTGATCCATGTTGATATGCGTCGGCCAATCCATTGATTTGTTAGGTATACATCTGGTCCGTCAAGTATTCGTTAGTCCGTCAAGTATCCATTTCTTCTTCTTCTTCTTCTTCTTCAGAAATATAGTCATTGCCTGTTCCACCTCCGGCCCCATGTGGTCACCCTGTCTCTTCTTCGGGTGGCCAGGATGTCTTCGTCGTTGTGGGCGGTATTGTAGAATTCTTTTCGGCAGGCGGCTGTCTTCGATCTTTTCAATGAGCTGTGTCCAAGAATTTCGGTAGTCATTGATTTTTTTTTAAGATTACATACCCCAAGCCCTTTACGAATTTCTAAATTTACTTTCTTGCCCATTAGCTTATAACAGCGCACTGATCTCTGATCTCAGAAATCGCATTTTAGCACTCTCGGTGGCAAGGCAATCTTATTTACAGGATTTAAACACCTATGAGTGCTTCGGTGAACCGCCTTCTCGTAGTGCCTCCTGAATAACGCTAAAGGTTCATCAAGCTAGTGTAACATTACTTCCACTTACTTATATTACCCTTCTATTGTCTTTCCTAGGAGCTCTCTCTTGGCCCCTTGATATATCTTCGACCCCAACGCTGTAAAGTCTCGAGGGCTAGGGTGTCATTAATTTCTCTATCTTCACTTTCCTTTACCTTTACTCCTTTACTTTTCTTCTCCCTCTTAATTTATCTTTTTTATTTTCTCCTTTGGTCTCTCATTTTCACCCACACTGATGGGTTTGACAAGGATGGGAGTCCGTTTTTTTTTCTCCCTAGACAACGGAAACCCTCAATCAAAGGCTTTCAGATAGCAGCCCTACCACTGATCAAACCTGCATATGGGTTAGTAGCCCTATCAGGTAAATCGATAATTAAAATCCTCCAGAACCATAGCCGGACTCACCATATGACAACAAGTATCCATTTATCAAGTATATATTCATCAAGTATATATTCATCAAGTATATATTCATCAAGTATATACTCATCAAGTATCCATTTATCAAGTATGTATTCATCAAGTCTCCATTTATGTGACGCAGCCTCCCTAACCCCGCGCGCGCGTGGTGGTGTTGCAGGCGGAGCGGGGGAGCGCGGCAGCGGCTTCGCGCAGCGGCTGCGCCGGTGGCGCGCCGCCTCTTCGGCCATGTCCGCGGCCGGGCGCGCCGGCGCCGCCGTCGGCCTCGCAGCGCCCTGGCGCAGCCTGCCTGCGCTACGCCTGCCTGCGGCCGCCGCCACCCTCATGCTGCTCTTCTACTCGCAGGCGACGGACGGGGCGGCGCGCCGGCGCCGGCGGGGCCCGCGACCACCTCCTGCGCCTGGTCGACCTCTCCGCGCCGGCGCGCCCGCCGCTGCCGCCCCGTCGCCAGAAATGACACCGCACCAGCCCCTAGGTGCGTAGTCGCTTTCGGAGTCGGTTCTCTGGCGACGGAGTCAATAGGGAAGGACCTTCTCCTCCCTCCTCGTCTTCTTCTTCCCTCCTCCTCCTCCTTCCTCCTCCTCCTCCTCCTCTTCTTCTTCTTCTTCTTCTTCTTCTCTTCTTCTCTTATTATTATTATTATTATTATTATTATTATTATTATTATTATTATTATTATTATTATTTTCGTCCTACTCCTCTTCTTCCTCCTCTTCTTCTTCTTCCTGCTCCTCCTCTTCTCCTTCCTCCTCCTCCTCCTCTTCTTCGTCCTCTTCTTCTACACTTCACGGTTTATGCAGCAGCCTGTTCCGCCATCACAGTCTCCTTCCATCATCTCATCGATCTTCCCACGTCCCATTCCTTTCGGTGCGTAGTAGAAAGCTTTTGGAAGGCTGATATACTCCATTCTTCCAATATGCTGTAACCATTTTCCCCTATATTATTGCATCATAGTGTTTATTTGTTACACCTTTAATTATTTTCTTATGTTTTCGTTTCTAAACCTTTCCTCTCTTGAACACTCTTTAGTTTTGCCCAATTCGGATTTCGCAACCGCAGAGCAACATGGGAATTAACGTATTTTTCATATTTTTATTCGAATTTCTTATCTCGTTATTCTTTTTAGGGTGTTGTGAATGGTTCCACATATTGTTTGGAATCTCGAAAGTAACCCACGTATTGAAGATTGAATCGTACATAAGACCCCTGAGAGCTGTTGTTACGAAACAATTTGATTCCATATCTTAGCTGGTAGAGAATCTAAATAAATAACGGAGGGTCCCGGGTGAGACCCCGGCGGGATCAAGATATTTGCATTCTGTGAAAATCCATTTTCCGAGAAACGATTTTGCCTTCGAATAAGTGAGAGAGAAATTCTTTCAAGAAGGGGTCGATGCATTCATTACTCTTGATCGAGCTTCCACATTCTGAGTGTAGTCCAGGCCTGTGAAACCGCGCCCGAGCGAGCTACTTGCTGACTAGAAGTCCGGCGCTCCTGTGAACACGGGCAATTTCTCCTGACTCCGCTCTCATCTACCCAAATCTAGGAAGGGGTGTAAACGCGAAGGCTGAAGCGACGCGAGGCGGGGAAGAGTAGCTTCATATGGAAGTGTTTGCCAGATTTGTTCTATCAAACAACCGAGATTTTTATTATGTTTATAATCTTTACTCTTTACTACTGTGTCATGTTTGTTTTCTTTTCAAATTCTTTCTTTTATAAACATTTTTGTCAAGGCGTAGGAATATGTTTGAAATTGGAATTCTTTCCTTGTTTTCGTTTTGTGTTATGCTTTGTTTAATCATTCAGTCATTTGTTGTATTTAGCAATAATATGAAATAAATTGACAAGCCTCCAAGAATCAACAATTCTTGTTTACGGGCGGACCGCTTTTTGACAGACAAGAGTCTGTTAAACTCCTAACCTGAATGTAGGAAGTTAATGAAATTGTTGCTTTTAAGTAAACACGTTAACAAAATCAAGATACATTCAATTCAAATGATATTTTTTTTTCTGAATTGATAATTTGAAATCAGGTCTATATATTATTATATTTTAGCGGTTAATTTCTTTGCTTTAGTAGAGACAATGGGGAAAAATGTAGCTAAATTTACGGCAATAACCTACAACTGCTTTCTCCAAAAGACTCATTGATCTGATCAAAGAGTCAGTATTATGGTTCTGGTATCCAATAATGTATCACCACTCCGGGGTAATGTAGAACCCTTATATTTAAATTTCGTGCCAGTTGCTTGACGCAGTGCCCGCGTACTCGAGAATGTTTGTTACCTTGCCCGCCACGTTGACATGCATAGTGTAGGAATGATAATTTTTTCAAAACATCGACTTTTTTTATAGAAACACCGTTGTTTTAATCATCGATATATTAAAGCCGATGGTTTTTACCATCTGTGTTTGTGCTCGATGGTTTTACGTTTCCAATGTTTTGTTCGTGAAGGGGAAAAAATCCATATTCATGATTTTGTGAAAATTAAAACATGAAATAAAAACATGATACCACTGTCGTTCATTTGTTCGAACGATGCGAACGCTGTTGATTCTACCTTCGTCGAGCGCACAATTTCTCCGCAGAGAGATGACTCTGATGCCTTGGTATTTACTACGTCTTTGCTGATATTTTGCACGGGGTTGACGCATGTAAACATCCCCCTTCTTATCGCAACCTACCACGGCGATCTGAGGAAGCTTTGATCGCTTGAGATGACCCTGAGTGCTCAGGCTTTCTTTTGTTAAGTGTTTTATTTTTGTTCGTTTCGTTAGTTACATCGTAAGTATAAATTTATTAACGCGGCCATTGTCTCAGTAAATTTTTGCCCCACGCAAACATAAATGTTAAAAGTGACGCACGCAGTTTTAAAAACATGGATGTTCGCAAACATTGATGGTTTTGGGGCGATGTATTAATAATACCGAAGCTTTAATTTTGAACATCGATGTTTGGAAACATCTATGTTTTGTTGTCGATGTCGCAACCGTAGGCTTGTGTAGTGAGATGTGCGTGACTTTGTGTGTTCGCAGAGAAAGCCGGCTATTTGGTGTGGAGCCCCAGCTGCCAGATCCCGCACGTGGACGCGTACGACGAGTCCATCCGCAAGTTCCTGAAGCCCGTCGACCCCATCGTGTGCAGCCGCGTGGCGCCGCTCACCTTCGTGGCCCCGCTGGGCGAGGAGGGCCAAGGCCACGTGCTGCGCGTCGACAAGGCCGTCGTACCGCACTACGCCCCGCGCGGCCACCGACTCACCTGCTGCTACAGCAACGTCACCCGCTTCACCACGCCGCCCGGACACAACTACACCGACCAAGCCGACAACTACTACAAGTGAGAGCATCGCACTGCTCCGTCACAGCGGGGCAAGGGGAGGGAGAGCCTACGGGCGCATACCCCTCCCGGGAGGTAGAAACGGGTTCCCAATTTCTCTACCATACGGACGCCGTAGGTCTTCCCGACTTGGATATAACCAGGATTTTTAACGGCGGAGGAGGGGGCAATAATAATAACAAAAATTAAAATTAAATTTATTAATAATAAATAACAATATTTTTTTTAGCCGATCCGGTGGCCAAGACCGCTAAGGCAGTAGTGCCGTAGCGTACTGGGACCGAAGGATCGCGGGTTCGAGTCCCGCCTCGGGCATGGTTGTATTGTGTTTCGTCCTTTCACCCCTATCATCATCATTATCGTGTCAACCCACAGTTACCATACCGTTACAAGCAATAGTGGTCGCTAATGGCCTAGTAGTTGATGCGACCTTAAATAACAAAAAAAAAAAAAAAATATTTTATTACTATTATTATTATTATTATTATTATTATTATTATTATCATTATCATCATTTCCATTATGATGATAATCATTATTTTTTTCCGCGGGGTATTCTCACACGGGATTCAAGGTTTGATGGGCCTTTGGGTACAGCACATTCCTACTCCATTGTATTCTTATATTATCATTGCTATGGCCACTGTGAATAGACACTTTGCATACTCCAACAATCCCTACGTTAATAATTTTGACATTCAATTACTCAGAGCTTAATTTCATTATCTCAATTAATCAAAAAACATGTATTGCCTTTAAAAAATGTTGAATCCACTTTGATGAATTTCTCAACATTTTCGTGATTTTCGAAAAAAACTGAAAGAGTACATTTATTTTGGGGAAATTGGAAAAGGAGATGGGGTAGTTTTACAAAATATGTTACTAACAGTAACTTTTCTTACAAAATACACTTCCACAAAATTCATTAAGATCAAAATAAAACTGTTGATTTGTGGGAGGAAAAATCAAACCTTTTTCTTTATGCAAGAGATCATAACAATTTTTATAAAAGGTAGTCAAAGTTATTCCTGAACAAACAGCTACCTTTCAGTGAAAACCGCATCAAAATTAGTTCAGCCATTCCAGACAAACAGACAGACAAAAATTGTATAAAACCATTGATTTTGTTTTGATATCATCTAAATAAGCATATGAGAATATAAAAACACTGTTATTTAGAAGTCACAAACATACTTTCCAATTTTCTTTATGTAGATACATTAGATTAAAGTACATGTGGCATAAAGTAATGAATACAATTATTAAAAAATAACAATACGTTAAAATTTACATATATAAAATAATAAATGATTAAACATTTTTTGCAATTAAATTAACTTTTCTTTCTATAAAAATTCATGATTAATATGAAGTTAATAAAAAAGGGTATTTATTTTCTTAAATTGAAGGAATATATACAGAAAAAACACCTGTTTTTTTATATATTTAAGCAAATAAAATACAAACAAAAAATGTGTTGATTAAACAATTTAAATTCAAAGAAAATAGATTTAATGTATCACAAGTTTCTGCTGATTTTCGAAAATGCCATTTAACTATTTCATTTTTATATTCTTCCACCTTTTCTGAATCATTTGTTCTGTATATGCCCAGTAACAGTATTGGGGAGTAATTGAGTGAAAGTAATTCATTTACTTGTAACAATTACTTTGTTAGTAATTTTAGCATGTAATCATAATGTTTAGCAAAATGAACTTTTTACTCCTTGGTATATAATTGTAATCATTACTTTATAGTAATCGTTACATCACATGTAATCATAAAAAAATTTTTTATATGTCTATTTAGTTACTTTTGCTCACAAACTACATCACTTGTTGGGAACTAATGGGTGGGTTAGTTCATTTAGTTCACAAACTAGTCTGATTCAGAGACCTCCATCCACAATATAGGAGAATTCCCATTGCTACATCCCAGCATGCCAGGTGAAGATTAGTTCATTTGAACTAGTTCATTAATGAACAACACATCTCTACCTGTACTTGTAAATGTAATTGTAATTTTACTAATTACATGCTGAAAAAGTAATTTGTAATGGTAATTGAGTATAATATTTGACAAGTAACTGCAATTGAGCCCAATTCTTTTTTTTATGTACTGTTTCCATCACTGCTCAGTGAGTTGTCTCTTGTCATTATTGATCTTAATTATATCTTTACCCTACATATGGCAGGTGAATGACACCTCTCACATGCATGGTAGTGCAAGAAAAATGTTGCCATGGAATTAATTTTAGAAGAGTTAATTTTTTAAAATTGTAAAGATTTTATTTTTGATACTACATTATATATGAAAAAGGATAGAAGTTTGAAGATTTAGTGGGGCAATTGCCCCTCAATCACCCCTTGACTATGCCCAAGTCCCCTTGTCACACTTCGTCCGGTCTCTCCATTTGCATTGATACTATAGTGCTATTGATAAATAAACGTTCAGTGATAATTTTGTAAAGTAAGCCACAAAACACACACATGAAGACAAGGACAATCTAAGAAATAATTATTCTTATCCTTATTTAAAGTCTCTATTAAGATTCTATTTTATTTTATTTCATCTACAGTAAGAGAAATTAAAGTGTATTTTTTCTGCATATTTACTACTATGAATTCAACATTTTACTGACAATATAATTTAATTTCTTATCATTATTTACTTCAGATTATACATTTTTTTATTTAGTATTACATTGAAACATATATTCATAAAGTTATACACTACTTTTATTTACAAAAATGTATACCATCTGCAAAAACGAATAATCTGAATTTTATTTTTCAGCATCAGCTCCTGCAGTGAATTTGAAAAGGAAGTAAAATTGAAACCAGAAGAAGAATTTATTCTAGTCAGATGTAACAGTTACAAAAATGGCCATCAAAATGAAAAGAAGGAAGTGTATGCAAATATGCATGGAATAGTTCCTATAAAACCAAGTGTTGCTGAAAAGAGAAGAGAAAGGAAGTCACCTGATGATGATGCCGCTCTTAATGTTCTGATGGTGGGTTATGATTCCATGTCTCGCCTAAGTCTCTTGAGAACAATGCCACGAACTGTTGCTTATCTGAAGCGTGCTGGATATATAGATTTGCAAGGTTACAACAAAATTGGAGATAACACATTTCCAAACATTATGGCTGTTTTAACTGGTATGGATATGAACCAGTTAAAAGAGGGTTGCTGGCCTTCCAAAAAGACCAAGGTAGATGATTGCCCTCTTCTTTGGAAAGAATTTCATAACCACAGTTATGTGTCAGCTTATGCTGAGGATGAACCAACAATGAGTACATTTAATTACCAGAAGACAGGTTTTTTGAAACAACCAACAGATTATTATTTCCGACCTTACATGCTCGCTGCATCTAAGAAACTTAAAATTCAAAGAAGAAATAATCTTGATGTGTGTATGGGGCCAATTTCAACAACAGATCATATTTTAAGATATGCATTAGATTTTGTGACAACTTTCAAAAATTCGTTTTATTTTGCACTCTTCTGGATGAATAATTTCAGTCATAATGATATCAATGTTCCAGGAGCCATGGACCTGAGAACTCTTCAATTCTTCAATGAGTTGGATGGCTCTGGCACATACAACAACACTATAGTTATATTTTTCAGTGATCATGGAATGCGCTTTGGAAAAATACGCCAAACACATGTGGGTTGGTTGGAAGAACGATTGCCATTTATTTACATATTGCTCCCTGACTGGTTTAAATACAAATATCCTGAAGCTTATCAAAATCTACAAACAAATAGAAATAGATTAACTTCTACTTTTGACCTATATGTTACTTTAAAAGACGTGTTGGAAAGGGGAATGAACTCTACTGCCGCAAGTGGAAATGTATCACTTGCATGCCCTAAGTGCAAAAGTTTTTTCTCAGAGGAGTTTGGTGATAGATCTTGTGATGATGCTGGAGTAACTCCTCATTGGTGTACATGTACAACATACACTGAACTATCGGTAAATGATGCGATTGTGCAAAATGCTGCAAAGTATGTTTTATCTGAAATACAAAAGAAAGTTAGAAATTCTTTGCAGGCAGACAGCTGTGCAGAGCTTATTATGCACCAAGTAATCAAAGCCAAAAAGAAGGTGCATATCAATGATCACGATGCTGATCATGATGATTATGTTGTAATTTTTGAAACATTACCAGGAGGAGGACTTTTTGAGACAACAGTGAGACATTCTGGAAACAGTGACTTTTCTATTTTGGGAATGGTAAGCAGGATAAATTCATATGCTAGAGATAGTTTCTGTGTGAAAGATGGTGAGCTAAAATTGTACTGTTTTTGCCTTCCCACGTGATAACTTTGCATGTCACAAGAAATTTGCATTTAATTTATTAAATGAATGTATTTCAGTATTACATGATATAATAAGTATATATCAAGTGTCTCCTCAGTCATACTTTATACCGTTCAAAAGTTTCATGGTGATATTTCATTGATACAAATAAGAGTGATTTTCATGAGACAGATTTTGAATAAAATTGCTTTCAATGAAGTGGAAGAGGCAAACCAATCCAAAATTAAATTATATAAGATTTATTTATAGGTAAAATATCTATATTTTCATTGTTATGATTTTGAAAGAAGTCTGTAAATAATGTACAGATTGATTATTTTGTGTTGATGGCAAATAAAAGTTTCTACTTTTTTAAATAAAATTACCCATTTGTTTTCATATTAACAAAATCACATTTTCCTTGTAAATCTAATCTCAGCAGTCTACAATGTTGAAGCAACTGGATATGTTTTAAGATCTTGCTTGATTTGAATAATAAATCTATTTTTTTCTATTTAAGCAATTTTTCAAATTATCTACAAAGGAGAATCAAATAAAAAAATATCAGCCGTTCTTGATAGCTCATGTCGCTAAGGCTCGTCTATGGATGCTAGGGTCGTAGATGCCTCAGCTCAAAGGGTTGCGGGTTCGAAACCCGCCTCTAAAATGGATGTTTGTGTGTCATCAATTTGTCCTTACATGGCATGTTCCTCTACAATTACCCCAAAGTAAAAAATGAAAGTGATTGCCACATGGTCTAGTAATTAAAAAGCGACTTTAAAAAACACATTTAACTTTATTTCATACTTATAATTAAATAATGAGAAGGGACAACTGATATTTTCATACTGTTACATCACTTGAGGATACTGATTCCCAAAGCCAGTTTTCATTGTTTTGCATATTCATAGTAAAATAGTATAAAAATCTGTGATAAAAAATATTTGAACATTTAAAACCTTATATATTTTGAAAGAAATAATAATTCAATGTGACATCTTGACTATTGTCAGTACATATTTTGAAACAAAAGCATCACTGATAGAAAACTATACATTTACATTTTGAAACACTTGCAAACCTGTAAAGAAGACATGTTGATTTCATCCATAAAAGGCATTAATCGTATTTTAACAATTCATACGCATAAAGCAAGATAATCAAAGGCAATTAGGGAGTGAAGTTATCATCTCTACGACTATCAATCAATGGCAATTCACAGTTATGATAAAAAATATAAATTAGTGGTGCTATAGAATGGAGGAATTTGGATCCGTTTTTGAGAATATGGTATATGAGCGTTTCCGAAAATGCGGAATTTGGAGCTCATTTTCACAGAAAACTGTTGAGTTTTGGGAAACTTGATCTAGCATTGTTTAAAGCACATGTACTCCTAAATACATTAATGTAAAGAAATTGCCACTAGTATAAATATTAACAATGTCAGAGACAAGTCAAAAAAATTAAATTTTTGTAATTTTTGAAAAGAATATAACAAAACGGCGTTTATCTCATCTTATAGAGTGCATTTAGTACAATCCCTACCACAAGTTTAAAGAAAAAATTTACAGCCGTTTTGGGAAAATCTTGTTTTTGTAATTTTTTAAAATTGCATATATTGCATGCAATATTAGCGAAAACTACTAAAATTTTCAAAAAAATGTACATGATCTTAATAAAATAACTCATAAGTTTTATTTGAAGGAAAAATCTCTATCTTCAATTTTGTAGTTATAAGAAGTGTGAAAAATCTTGAAATTTTCGAAAATTCATAGTTAAACCTGAAAATCTGATTTATTAAGTGTACTCTATTTTTTTACTACCTCTATTTTTTTAAAGAAAAAATTTGAAGCCGTTTTTTAGAAAATTTTGATGTCTGGGGGGGCTTCATGTAAAGAACCCCAAATTTTAAACAATGTTTATCCAGAATCTCAAAGCTTCGACTCGAGCCAGATGGACAGAGGTTTCTTCAATTTGGAAAAAATCCTACATATGGTTTAGGCGCTAGTAGTGTTAATAGACGGACGCTTTGAAAAAAATCTTTTTCTGTATCAGGAGACCCCAAAACGTGTATTTCCGTTGGAATCTCGAAATCGATTTTCCGCAGCATTACGCAACTTTCCCTATACTTACTCTATTATTTAACACAGTGTAACAAATTTGAACTTTGTGTCTTGTCACGAGATGAACGTTTGTGTTTCTTAGTAAATCACATACGCTAATTTCAAAAATGAATTCAAAATTTTACATCACGTTCCATTTTTTCTCGAAAAGATACACCAAATAGAACATTTTCGAGATATGACTTGGTAAGAATACAGGAGGAATCTATAGTTCGTTAATATGCAGATCATTGTAACAAAAATTATTTGTACTACAAAAACTGTTGTATTAAATTGTTTGTATTACAAAACATAGAATGAAAACTACCAGAAAGTTGAATAGAACTTGAAATGATGTACCTACAAATTAGAAACATTTCCTGGAATCTTTCAGTTTGGAAGAGGATGGTGAAACTCCTTGTAGGAGTGTCCAGAAGTAATCCGCCAAAAGGTTTTGAGACCATCTTCACTTATATTGTTTTTCAATTACAGAGATATGTTGGTGAAATAGTTCACCATGTTCGTCACTCGCATCTCCAAGGTTAGGGGGAAAGAAATCCAAATGTGAATGAAGGAAAGACGAACCCAAGAAATTCTGCCTCTAATGTGCAGGCGTGTAATCAAGAAATTCATGATCTTCGTGATCATGAATTTCTTGATTACACGCCGGTTTGTCACTATCATCGTCTGATTCATCTTCCAGTGTCCATTCCGATGATGGTTTTGGATCTTGGAGAGAATTAGAATGTGGAACTGGAGCACTGCAAAATCCAAATTTGGTTAAGACACTGTTTTTCGATTTACTTCAGATTCCTGTTACTTTCGTTAAACAAAAGTAACAATCTGTGATGTGGGCTACAGGTTCTCTTAACAACCGTGGTGGCGCAAATGGCATAGATCAATAGGTTCCATTCCACCATCTTCTTAAAATAGCAGGAGCAAAGTGAGCAACAGTTCTGTAGTGCCCCTCACTTTCCCTCAGGTACCTTTGTTTCAGAAATCAAGCCGTAGGCCTTTTTGACGATCGGAGAATGGGGATGCCTTTGAGGTTTGGTCGTAAACTAGCCACACGAAATGCCTTTATTGAAAATATTTGGTTAATTAACAGAGTTCCTAGACATCGTTAAGTATAAGAAATACGCGAACACGCACAAACAATATTCTCCATGTTGGCGGATTTACACACTTCAAGAATAGATACTGTGTGATCTCACTGTCGATTGACTGATGCATCTGCAACTTCCCTTTACCTGCCACAAGTGTCCATCTCCCCGTCCTCTCTCGACTCGCACCATTAGGCAATTTTATCCCTAAAATAACAGAAAACGATAAGCGCCGCGACATCATATAATAACGCAGCCGAGCGCAGATTAAATTTGCGTTTCCAGAAGAAAATTTAGGTGATAGCGAACTATGGTTTCCACCATTGTTATCAGGGAACATCATAAACACATTTTTTGTTCTGCGGCAAATTCCAATGTCGCACTGTGTAATACTCCGTATATACGTACGTATACGGGAAAGTAAACTAGTGGTGCTACAAATAACACAGACCTTTCCGTATTAGTTTTTTATTTCCTTTGATCTCGGCAAGCTAGTCGAATTTTTCGGTTTTCTGATAGTAGAACGGAAATATTATTTTATGAATATTAAAGAACAGTAAAACCTCGTGATAAATGGCAATTTTCTTTGAAAATGTTGGATCCGCTTTTATTAAAATGGCGATTAAGCGCCACCGTAAATTCGAAATTTGAAGTTCTTTTTCTCAGAAAATTTTTCAGTTTTCGAAAAACTTTATAAGACAATATTTAATGTACATGTACTCATGTATATGATATTGAGAACGAATCGCCGATAATATAAATATTAATGACATGAGAGACAAGTCAAAATAGTACATTTTTGTAATTTTTGAAAAACAAAAGAATATATCATTTATGTCATCTCATAGAGTATATTTAGCACTATCCTTACCAAAAGTGTAATGAAAAAATTTGAAGCCGTTTTGGAGAAAATCTTGCTTTTGTATTTTTTTTTAAATTTTACATATTGCGCGAAAGCTACAAAAAGGTTCAAAAAATGTACATGACAATAAAAGAGCATACTATATGATTTTATTGAAAGAACGTTGTATAGGGAAAGTTATGTAATGCTGCGGAAAATCGATTTCGAGATACACATTTCGGGTTCCCTAGATACCGAAAAGTGTTTTTATTTTCAAAACGTCCGTCTGTCCGTCTGTTGTACGTCAGTCGGTCCGCCCGACTGAACATTTTGAGTATTCTCTAGTGCTATTGCGCACTCTTGAAACTTGAAATGGCTGACTAAAACCCTATTTTTGTTACTGATATTTGAACCGATCCCAATGAGCGCAATGAAGCTTTAATAAAGAGTGCACATGTTTGTAAAGGAAAAAATAGAATAACTCAACCGAGAAACTGCGCGTCATAATGGGGCGTGTTAGCATTGCTGATTGCGGAAGTGTCATCCATTGAAGTCACAATGTCTTCTCAATGTGCAAAAATTCAGCATTGAAATTTATGAGGGAAGGTGTAATCTTTTTCATCGTAAGGGTAACCAACAAGCAGAGACAGAAGTAATTTTTATATTCTAGTATATCTTCTTAGCGGAAATTCTGCCGCTAGCGCCGTAACTCATTGGTTAAGTGTTCTCCCTGTGTTTGGAGTTTCCGGGTTCGATCCTTGTTAGTGTTCCGTTTTTTTCCGTGGTATGTTGTACAGATTCGAAGAATAACTAAAGAACAGTAAGATAAGAGAGGTTCAGCGCGTGTCACGATGGGGCCGTGCATGCATTGCCGATTGCGGAAGAGGAGGTCGCGGGTTCGAATCCCGGCCTTTTCGAGGATTCCACGTGGACCTCGTAACGAAATTCAACGTAATTAAAATATTACAGTTTCGTTACGTTGCTCTCAGAAAAGTTTCGTAATGTTATAAGTACTTATTTAAAACTTATAAGTTGCATTACGGGGCCTTTCCACCGGGAATCGCTCGAGAGGGTCTCCTCCGCGGGAGTCGGCGCGCGTCTGAATCTTCTTCGAAAAGCAATAGCATGAGGTCCCATCGGGGCGTTTGCAAAAAGTTATGATGATTATTAAAGTAAAATTTCTCAAAATGCCCTACACATGGCATCACACTGGACCTCCCAAAGCAGAGCAGACGGGCGGCGGGCTGGGCGGAGGTCCGGAGCACGGGCCAGCCTCGAACCCGAATCCTCCGCTTTGTTAGGTCTCAATGCTAGCCATGGCGCCACCAGGGCACGAGGGCAAAGCGGGTAATTATTCTATATGAAGGCAACAAGCAGTTAGGCTATGTTCACTTGGTAAAACGTCGCTGTGGTTCC